AGATAGAAATTTAAAAACTAAAAAATACATTATCTGAAAATTTAAAAAAATTACTGAATGGGTCCAATGGCAGAAGGGGATACAGAGGAAATATTTAGTGAACTTGAAAATAGATACATAAAAATGATCCAATCTGAAGGGCACTCAAAAAAAAGATTTAAAAAAAAAAAAGAAAGAACAAAGTCACAGTTACCTGTGGGACAATATCTAAGTTTAATATTCATGTCACTGGAGTCTCAGAAAGAGAGAAGAAATTGATTGATGCAAAAATATATATATTTAAAGAAATTATAGACACTTCTTAAATTTTGTGAAAGACATAAATTTACAGATTCTATAAGTTCTGAGAAACCTACATAGGATAAACCAAAAAACAAAGCAAAACCCCATGCTTAGCCAGACATACCATAATCAAACTACCAAAATACAAAAAATATATATATTATTATTATATAATATAATATAAAACACACAGAGAAAAATCTGAATGACTGTGGATTTCTCATCAAAAACCATGGAGGCCAAAGACGGTGAAATAATGACTTCCAAGTGCTAAAAAAAAGGAATTGTCAACCCCAAATTCTATACCCAATAAAAATGTTCTTCAGGAATGATGGCAAATAAAGTCATTTTCAGGTGATGGGAAACTAGAAGAACTAGGAACTAGCAGACCTGTTCTAAAGGAAATATTAAAGGAAGCTCTTAAAGATGAAGAAAATGATACCAGAGGGAAACATGGAACTACAGAAATAAAGAGTGACAGAAATGATAAATATAAAGGTAAATATAACAGATTACTTTTCTCCCTTTGAGTCCTTTAAATATAACTGTCAAATGCAAAAAGTATAAAATTGTCTGGTGAGGCTTTCAATGTAAGTATGTGAATATATATTAAATCTATAACATAAAGAAAGGAGTATAAAGGGACCTATGTGGATGGAAGGCTTCTACATTTCTACATGTTCCAATTAAAAACAGAGACTGGCAGATTAGATTTTAAAGCAGACTCAGCTATATGTTGACTACAGGAAATCTACTTTATTTATAAACATAGATCGATAAAAGTAAAAGGAAGGTAAGAGATATATTATGAAAGCACCAATCAAAAGAATACTACAGTAGTGATATTAACATCAGACAGAGTAGACTTTAGAACAGGAAATAACATCAGGATAACAAAAGACATTAAATTAATTATTAAATACTGATAAAGGGGTGAATTCTCCAAGACATAATAATCCTTAATATGTATAACCTCCTAACAACAGGCATCAAACTACATGAAGCAAAAACTGACAGATCTAAAAGAGAAAATAGCCAAATTAACAAATATAGTTGGAGATACCTACAGTCAGTAATCAATAGAAGAATCAAATGGAAAAACCAGCGAGGATAAAGGAGACTTAAGACTAATTGCCATTTATAGAACACTTCAACCAACAATAGCAGGATATGCATTATTTTCAAATATTCATAGAATAGTCACCAAGATAGATCATATTCTAGGCCATTAAAAGTCTTAATCAATTTACAGGAATTGAAATCATACAAAGTATGTGCTCACTATAAATGGAATTAAACTAGAAATCAATAACAGAAAGACATCTGGAAAAGTCGAAGACATTTAGAAATTAAACAACCCATGGGCCAAGAAAAAAAAATCTCAAGAGAAATTAGAAAATATTTTTAACTGAAAGAAAATGAAAATGCAACATATCATAACGTATGGAATGTGGCTAAAGCAGTTCTTACAGAGAACTTTGTAAAATTAAATGCTTATATTTAACAAAAAGAAAATTTCAGGTTGGTTATCTAACCTCATATTATGAAACTAGTGAAGAACAAATTAAACCCAAAATAAGCAGAAGGAAGGAAATAATACATGCATTACTATGGGAGTGTAGTCTCCAAATATATGAACAGATATAAATGGAGTGGAAAATAGAAAAATCACAGAGAAAATCAATCAAACCAAAAAGTAGATCTCTAATAAAACTCTAGCCAGACAAAATATGGAGGAAAAAATATGCAAATTACCAACATCAAAGGGGAGATAACACTACAGATCCCACAGATACTACAAGGACAGTAAGGGAATACTACAAACAACTCTAAACACATAAATTCAACAACTTAGATGAATGAGATGGACCAATTTCTTGAAAACTATGAACTACCAGAAGTCACTCCAAACCAAATTTTTGGTGACCAGAAGGCATTCATCTCAGAAACTCTCCAGGCTTTATTCAGGACAACTGCCTACTCCCAGGTGCTATTTCTCTAGCTTCAGGCTGATTTCCCATCTCCACCCTCCAGCTACCAACAAAGTTTAGTTCCAAATTTTGGCCATTGATTCTTTGGTCTCCCTTTTTGTTATAAAATTCTAATTTCATCCTTTCACCATCCCTCCCCCCATCCCCATGACTATTTTTGTTGAGAGGAGAATTGATATAATCTTCAGAAACTTAGACAACCCAGGCTTCTACAGAAAAATTTCTGAAGAGTGTCTGATTAGCTTGAGTCCCTCTTGTTATTATCTGCTGCCAAAACTTCCTCAGCAGCAATGTGTGCACTTGGTATTAGTGCACATTCAGGAAGGATTAAAGCACTTGCCTGCAACTCTGTACCTGGCCAAGCCCTCAATCAAGGGCCTTTCTTCATCTAGCCACACTACTCCCCAAATCAATCAGTTATCACTAGCATGTGGCTTGTCTCATGAGCTTTATTTCCTGCTTTGAAGAACCAACAGAGTCCTCAGAGGAACTAAGCTCCTTGCTCAAATAATTGTGATAAGATTAGGACACTAAAAGGACATCCGCTATAGCTCTTCCTTACAATTTATAACACTTAATGCCTGTAGATTCTGGTTTATGGATTGACTTCTAGGTCTCCTCCTCTCTTGTCAACTTTCCAGTTAGTTTGTGTGAGTTTATAAGACGGAAAATATATATACCAAAAGCATAATTCTCATCTCTGAAAAATGATTAAGTTGCTTTTTACCAATTTCTTATAATTTTGGAGTTGTATCCCCAAACTAATACTAATACTGGACAAATAAATATTCTCAAGCAGCATTTGCCACTACCTTGACAGGTATGATGAGTTACATTCCTGGCAATATTTTGAGAGAACACAAGAGCAATGGAGTTTGTCATAGATTCACTAATGGAGCCAAAAAGTTACAATGTTTGAATTTCCCCAAAGCCGCCCCCATAATTAATATGAATTTCTTTAAACCACTAGAACTGGGCTTCATTCCTCTCCCACATTCCCTGGGAATTCTGACTGCCATCCAGGATCTTCCCTATGATTTAAGACCAGGAGGACATGGTCTTTATGGTGTCTTCCAAATGAGACTTCTCTTAGTTACATGTTGACTACTAGTTTCTCATTGAAGTCATCCCCAACTTTGCAGAAACACCTGAATGCTGGCACCAACACCTCTCTGAGCTAAGCCCTTGTCCTTTTTTTTTTTTTTTGGTAACCAAAATCTGTGGTATGTGCTTCTCTAAGAAAATACAATTCCTGCTCCCTCTTTTCTGTCTTTCAACAGCTAGCAGGCACTGCCTACCATCCTTCTTACACATAATTACTTCTTTATGCTCTACCCCTTATTTAAACAGGTATTTCCCTCTTTTGTTCTCTTGTTTCCCTTTCAAAATCCCTAGGAGTATTAAATTCAGGGCTTGATTTTCACTTGGAAATGTTTTCCATATTTGTGGCACCAATGCCACCAGAGGGTTTACAGTAGGTCAAGTGAAGAAAAACACAGAGTGCAGAGTGGATGAAGAATTAAAAAAAAAACTCTTCTGCAACAGATAAATCAAAATGCCAATTATTTTCTGCTAGAATATATTTCATCAAATAATTCATGGTTATTCTGAGAACTACAGCAGTTTAATCAAAAATGAATTTGTATAGTCATTGTCCTTTAAAACATGGATTTTCAAATTTGAATGCCTGAGGAATTTTAAAAATGCTTTTAAAAAAGGTTTAATTTTAGAGAGAGAATGTGCACACAGAGAGGGGGAGGGGCAGAGAGAGAGACTCTCAAGCCGACTGCCCGCTGAATGAGGAGCCCCATGCAGGGCTTGATCTCACAACCCATGAGATCATGACCTCAGCCTAACCTAAGAGTCAGACGCTCAACTGACTAAGCTCTCCAGGAGCCCCAAATGCCTGAGGAATTTTTTTAAAAACTTGGGTCTCAGCCACAAAGACTGATTTAACTTGATGAGTTGCAACCTGGGTATCAAGATTTTTTCCCAAAGTTCCCCAGGTGACTTTATTGTGCAACAGAATGACGTTATCGTGCAGCCAACTTATCATGAGCACAATCAGCAGGAGTTTGATAAAACACAGATTGTTAGAGCTGCTGATTCAGTAGGTTTAGATGGAACCTGAGGATTTCCATTCCTAACAAATTCCCAGCTGAAGTTGTTGTTCTGGAGGTCATACCGTGAGAGCCACTGCTTTCATGTGCATATGAATCACCTTCAGGTGCAGAGGATTCTGTTAAAAGGCAGGTTTACTTCAGTTGGTGTGGGACTGGAGTAGATTCTGCATTTCTAATAAGCTTTCAGGAGATACTAATGCTGATCCGCAGACCATACTTTATACAGCAAAAGATCAGAGCAGGAAGTTAACTAATTAGAGTAGGGCATTCATGAAATAAATACGATTTTGTGACATAGTGAGAAAAACATTTAGTACCAAAGCACCATTTTGAAGTAAGTTTTCAACTGTAATTTCAATATCATTACACGGATATATGAGAAAAATTTCATGATCGTTGAGAAATTATGAAAAAATGTTTAATGTCATAGAATGAGAAATTCAAAATTATTTTCACATTTTATATGTTTATTCAGAAAGTGATTCAACTATGGATGATGCATGTTTAGCACTATGAAATCCAACGTTTTAAAATCCTTTTTCCCTGCATTTTTGTTTATTACATTTTTTTATAGTCCTGAAGAAATTCTCTTATCTGAAGTTTTTCATGCACTTGGGTATTTTGCATGATGTCTAATGTGATCAATAATAAAAGTGGCAGTGAGGCCGTAGCTATAATCATAATCCTCTTGTAACCTAAAAACAACATTAACTTTCTTTTCTGTGTAGGCAGCTATGAGGTTACCAGATAATGACTGTCCATCTGGAAGGAACTGGTTATCTTTTCCTTGATCAATTATTATGTCTAGCTGAGCACCTGGATAGGACTTCACAAAATGGGTAGCATCATAAGCCTTCCATTTATTTTGATCTGTCCCCAAATATCCACTAAAGGCTTTTCTGTCCCAAAGACAGAGCACTGGATTGCAAATTGGAGCAAATGCTGACACAGATTTGTACTTTCCAGGATTCTTCAAAGCACAAATCAGAGTTTCATGGCCTCCCATGGAGTGGCCAAAAATAGACATCCTGTAGGGGTCCACTGGAAAATGGGCATTTATGAGTTGGGGAAGCTCCTCAGTTACATAAGAATACATTCTGTAATTGTGGCTCCTGGGTGGCTCAGTTGGTTGAGTGTCCAACTCTTGGTTTCGGCTCAGGTCATGATCTCATGAGTGGTGGGATCGAACCCGGAGTCAGGCTCCATGCCCAGTGGGGAGTCTGCTTGAAGATTCTCTCCCTCTGCCACTCTCTCTCTCTTCCTCTCTCTCTAAGTAAATAAATAAATCTTTTTTAAAAATGTAAGTCTTGTGGTCGTTTTTAAAAATCAGTGCCTATACAGTAAAAATTGGAACCATCGGGCTCATGAGTAATTATTTGGGGGCCATTTTCACAAAAGAGTCCTAATATTACAATTTGATAATTCTGTTTCTGCTAACCACTTCATTTTTTTATTTTCTAGGCTTGAAGTTAGCAGGCTTAACAATTTTTACACTCCTACTCTGCAAGTGTTTATCCATTTTTACGTAAGTGACAAATCAATTCCTGAGTTTTGTTAAGGGCTATTTTTTGGATAGCGAAGGTCTTATAATAGGGTGGAGAGAGAACATTTGGTTCCTTTTGTGTCCTTCTCATACACATTTTAAAGCAATGGCTTCAGTTTTAGGAAATGCTGGATTTTTTGGAAACATCTGAATGTGAGACTTCCAAATTCTGAGAAAATAAGCAAATAACCAAATAAAATGGCACTGTAGTGTGATAACTGAACCTTTTAGACTCAAGATTCTAGACTTTAGAGGAAGGGGCAGATATAAAAATGGCAAGAAAGAGAACTATCAGAAAATGATAAAGAATGTGACAAGGCCATCTTTCAAAAGCAGGAGTAAGATATTTAGCAGATTTTTGTAAAAATAAAATCAGTAATATGTATATTTCTCTCTTGCAAATTAGGGTTATTCTCACCAATCTGAGAGCTCATGTTTGACGGTATAGAGGCTCTGGGTGATCAATACAAGTAAACAAGACCTGATGGGTGACAGCCCATCTGGGCTCTCTGTAAAATGAGAAGGTTCTACTTGACACTGTTTCTTAGTCTACGGGGGCAGGAGGAGGGCACACAATGCTTCGAGAAGTTTATGAAGGCTATAGATCCTCTTTCCAGAAAAATTCATGACTTGCATGTGATTCCATAGAATCAGATGCCCTGACCATGGTTGATGGATGAGGATGCCTAGAGCCCAAGTGAATCATACACTTCACACAGCCCTTGGCATAGAGTAAGTTCTAGGTGTTGGTGATAATGATAACAAATAGCTTCATTTCATGAGGTGAAGAACAAGAAAAAAACCACTTGTTTCATAAATGGAGTTTCATTCAAGCTAGTGATTAGTGAAACTTCCTTCCAGATTCTGACAATAGGCTGTCAACCTGTACTGTCAGCATTTGTTATTTTGAATGGTCATTCTTTCCTGTTTTTAATCAATAATTTTTGGCAACTTGGGAGAAGATCCATTTAAGAACTACTATTTATTTATTAATTCCTTTGTACCAAGCTCTCTGATAAGCAATTAGTCTGCATTAGCTCCTTTAATCCAAACAAATCCTAGTAAGTAAGGTTTACTAATGAAGAAGTTGAGGTTTCCAGTAACTCCAGTGGTCCCACAGACTATTGTGTGGCAGGAGCAGCTCCTTTCACAAAGTGAAAACTGTATAGAACACTAATCATTTTTTTTTAAAATAAATCCACCTTCATTGGCCCAGGAATTACTGAAAATTTCTTCCAGATTCTAACAATGGTCTGTTAATATTCATCTTCACTGTTTGTTGTTTTGGATTGTCATTATCTCCGGGCTTTCATCAATATTTTTTTTTAAAGATTTTATTTATTTATTTGACAGAGAGCAAGACAGCAAGAGAGGGAACACAAGCAGGGGAAGTGGGAGAGGGCCAAACATGGAGCCCAATGCGGGGCTTGATCCCAGGACCCTGGGATCACGACCTGAGCCGAAGGCAGATGCTTAACAACTGAGCCACCCAAGTGCCCCTTTTGTCAATATTTTAATGTGAACTCTGGACAAGGTAAACTAGGAGCTGCTAGCCCTTCAATATACCATTCTGACCAGAACTGTCATTTCCACGGCATAGCTCCAACATTGCCATTTGGCTTCCTTATTAGCTTTGGCTTTCCTCAAGAACTTGCTACCTGGATTATAAACTAAACAATATTCTATGCTCTATACTTGCATACCTTGTTTTCCTTTTCATTCATCTTGGTTTCATGCTAAACATGAAATTAGCTAGAACATTCTACTTCAAAGTGTTCATTACGAGGTTGTGAAGAAAAGAACACCATTTTTGTAAAGACTATCATGCTCAACTTTATTTGGTAAGTATTTGCCATTAATGTCAGTAAGTAACAGAAACTGCTCATCCTGTGGTCATCTGCTTTCTCTTTTTAGACTTCTAGCCTCTGCCCTCTCTTTCCACCATTTAAAAGCTTTCCTGATGCATATTCCTCTTTTGGCCTCATATTTTCATACTCTGCACATTCTCCTTGAGTGATCTCATCCACTCTCAGATAGTCATGACATGCAAATCTCCAGTCCCAGCCCAGACCTTTTTCCAAACTCTTGACTTGTTTAATCATTAACAACTTGGATCAACCATCCAGTTTTCCATAGGCATCTCAAACTCCACATGTCCAAAATAAAGTTATTATCTTCAACAATCCTTCTACCTCCTGAATCATCCACTTCCCTCCCATCATTCACCCATAAAGAATTAACTTCTGATGTTTCTCACCACCCCATAATTATCACCTGCATTAATTTATCCTTGTGAAACTCAGAATCACCTACATTCATTGATCCATGAATCATTAATTGCTACTTTCTGCATATGTAAGTAGGAAGAGTAACATCCACTTACCCCAGCAGGGTGGGGGGGGATTGCAATTGTTTGAAGGCTCTTTCAAATATATTTGTGTGTGATTAAAATGATGGAATATCTTTGGATGAATTTAAGTACAAAAGGCAAAATATTCCATCCCTGTAAGTTTTTTCCTTTTGGCTTAGAAAATGTTAATATTTTTACTCAAGCCATCTGGGTCTTGGAAATATCATGTGCCTTTGATGACTATATGTGAAAACTATTTTTTGCATCTTTAAAAATTCCTGAAGGAATGCTATTACTGAGTTTGTTTTCCTATTTTTCTGACAACAAATTACAATTAACTTGCAATTCAAAAGACAAATTTGAAATCTATTTAAGCAGTTCCAAGTCAACCTCACAGATATCAAATGATCTTATTAAAAATATTAATAGCTATAGATAACTCAAGTGTTTCCTTGACTTAATGTCTTTTGTTTGGATGTAATTTTCTTTCATATATAAAAAGTCCTTTAGCACCATCTGCTTCTATAACACTTCGCCATGCTTAAAAAATTTTATTCCCAGACACGGCAGTTTTGAAATTACTCCATCAAAGTTTCTTAAAGAAAATAAACTAGAAAAAGAATTTCCATTCCTCCTAGCTTGTTTCTTAACAAACAGCAGACAAAGACAATGTTTGTTACCCAAGAAACACAGTGCTACATGAATATTTTGTTATAATCAGAAATTTCCCTTCTGATTTTCCCTCTGACCATAAGGCTAACTGGTGCCTGAGGAAACAATATTTTATGTGCTATATGCACAATCTGTGCAATAATATTCCTTTAAGATATGCAGATCTCATTTTATAATCTCAACTATAAAATGGGGTGACTTTTCACATAGTCTCGTCCATTTTATGGATAAACATTTAACAAATGACAAGATTAAAAAAAAACAAAAACAAATGACTAGACTGCCAAAATAAATTCCCCAAGGGAAGCTGATAGACTGAAGCAGTAACACCAGTAAAAGAAATCCAACAAAGGAAATAGCTTCTTCCCCTATGAAACTGAAGCACACTCTTAGAGAAAAATCAGAATTTTCCAGGGCACCTAGGTGGTTCAGTTGGTTAAGCATCCAACTCTTGATTTCAGCTCAGGTCATGGTCTCTGGGTCATGGGATGGGGCCCTACATCAGGTTCCACACTCAGCGGGGAGTCTGCTTGAGATTCTCTCTCTCTCCCTCTGCCTCTGCCTCCCACCCCCCTGGCCCCCTACGCACGCACGCTCTCTCTCTCTAAAAGAAATAAATAAATCTTTAAAAAAAATCAAACTCTTCCAATTCTTGACAGTGGTAGTAGAGGATTAGGCAGCTGAATTTTTCCATGTGTACAACTCCGAGTCAGTGATATTGATTTAGAAATATAAATAAGTGGTATTAGGATAGTGATGTTGAAATTGTTGTAGACAGATTAAGAATAGGCCAGTTGTCTTCCTAAGGAAGTCCAAGTATGGATGTGAAATTGTCTACAGATCTAGTCATCCTTACAGTCACTCTTCACTATACATCAAACACCTGCTATATCTAGATTCTATACTAGTTTCTGGAATGAATGAATAATTCTCTTATAATTTGTAATAAAACTTATTCATCATCTTGTAGATGTAAATGGACCTCCATCCTCCAGTATTTTCTACCTGAATCCATTTCCCACAAATGAGCCAGAATTCACTTTGTAAAATTAAAATTAAATTGCATGATAAAGTTCAAACTCCCTAATAATGGTTTACAAAGACATTGATGGTCTGACTCTTGCTTACCTCTCCCGCTTTGCTGTTCCACCTTGCTCTCTGGCCATAATGAATTACTAACCATTCACAAAACAGGCCTTTGCATGCTGTTCCCCCTGGCCAAATGCTTTTCCTCCTCTCCTTGTCTGACTCTTTTCCCCTGACCTTTTGTTTCTAGGCCTCTCCTTGGCTAAAACTTCTTCAAGGACTAAAGTGTGCACAGGTGAGCCTCTTATGCAGTCAAATGCTCTGCTCCTGCGCTATAGGCACAGGTGAACTTCTTATGCACCACACAACACTCTGGGCCTTATACCTTGTAGCACCCACCACAGCAAGTGATTTACTTGTCTCACTCCTGCTAGACCATATACCCCTCAAGGACAGGCACTATGCCTTGTTTGCTCTGCAAATCTCATGATGTGAATGCAGCCTTGGCACATCTTAGTGATAACAACTTGCTAAATGAGTAAGCAGAAAATTGAACTATGCATTCTTCCCATTCATCTTGGTGAGGTCATTTTACAGTGGCAAGCATGTGAGGTAAGGGAACTTATCCTTAGCCTCACTACTTGACTACATGAACTGAGACATCTGGTGGTAAATGCACACACTTAAGCATATTCTCTTTCCCCCCCCCATACATTTTAGTTCTAATTTATCATGAAAATGTTTCATCCTGAAATCAATAATGCCTGATCTTTCCTACTGAGAATATTAAGTGGCTTCTTCTTGCTTTATGTTTTATGATGGATCAAAATACAAGACATCTCCAAAATCAACTTATCCTTTTTTTTTTCTTTCTTTCTTTCTTTTTTTTTTTTTGAAAGCAGGGTAGAAAGTAAAATGAACTACTCTGGAGAAAGAAATATGCTCTTAGTAGAGAGATGAGAACTCCTTCTGGATAAATTGTTTTGGTCTGCACAGTGTAGCATAAAAAATACCAAACTTCTGCAAAGGTTTTATTTCATTGGTATTTTTTCTTTAAATATTTACTGAGATGGATATGGCACCCCAGTGCTACAGCATAATTTTAAGCGATAGTTATAGATCCCAAGATCAAATCTGTAAACTAAATAAACATACATCTACATATATTTGACAGGGAGGAATTAGATCAAAACACTGACAGTTACCTATGGTTGAATTTTATTTTCATTTTCACTCCTCTGTATTTTCCTAAGGTTTGACAAAAAGGTCAAAAGAAAACCAATAAACATTTTACACACAGGAATGAAGAGAAAAGATAGTAACATTGTTCAAGAGAGAAATTAGTAGATATGGGTGTTCTGTAAGTTTCATCCTATCTTTAAAGTTCTATAATTTTGACTTCCCAACTGTACTATGCAAAAATATGTAGATTTTAGTCTATTACTAGACACAGCCGGAATTCAGATAGAAATGTCTTTCACAATAGAAACAATTTTTTCACAATAGAAACAATTAATGAAATAGTTTACATATGACTTTGGTCATAATAGAAGGTGAATGCCTTGCACTTAGTAGGCACTCATTATGTCTTAAATGAATTTCAATTGGTCAATGAATGTTAAATGACCTTGGTGTTAAAATTCTGTCTCTGCTGCCCTCCAGTGGCTCATGTGCTTAACTCCAAAAGAGAAAATCAAGTGCCTTCCATTCCCAGACCCTTATTTGAGGGGTGTATGAATGTCAGATTTCGGGGCTTGGTATTCCTTTTGGACAGAGTTTTGTATTCAACCTCTGTGACAGTACCTTGGTGGGTCAAGGCCAAATGCATTATCTGTCTCCTTCCACCTGCAAAAAGTCAAACTGAAGCAATAGCAATAGATGCTGTCAAACACTAATTATGTTTATGCTCACACTTCATAGAGATTTTTCATTTGTGTCACCACAAACTTCTAGTAAGAAATTGTGGTGAGGGGCACCTAGTTGGCTCAGTGAGTTAAGTGTCTGACTTTGGCTCAGGTGATGATCTTAGGGTCCTTGGATCAAGCCCTGCGTCCGGCTTCGCGCTCAGCAGGGGAATCTGCTTCTCCCTCTCCCTCTTATTCTGCCTCTCCCCTGGCTAGTGCTCTCTCTGCCTCTCTCTCAAATAAATAAATTCTTTAAAAAAAGAGATTGTGGTGATAGTAATAATAATAATTGCAACTCTTATTAGAAATAGCTCTGGCCCCTTGTTAAGGGGTGATGGTGTTGTCATGTGCCATTAGGCACAAAAGTTCCCATCAATGGCACATCTTAATGAGCAGCCCAGAACTCTAAACTTACATATCATCTAAGTGTAGTACTGTAGAAAAATGTTAACTCGGCAGCAAATACCATTGGCAAATATCAGCGCTGCCATCGGTGAACACTAGAACTATATTTTGGTATTGCCCTCATCTGTGAGAGTTATACCCTGAGTTCAGTTGGTCGTTAGAGTGGCTGCAGGAGGAAACCTAGTTTCCAGAACATTTAGTTTCAGTTTTTTTGACACTGGCTATGATCTACTCTGAGATATCCTGTACTTCAGGCCCCTCCTGTGGTTTTAGACAATCATCTCCAAATAAGTTATCTTCTACATGACTTATTTTTTTTAAGATTTATTTATTTTAGAGAAAGAGCAAGAGACTGTGGGGGCGGGGG